CGTTAACTCACATGTGCTCAGGGTGTGCTAGTGATTAGATCACGTCAGCAGTGTGGCTCATTCTTGAAGCAAAGTTTTGTCTGAATGATGATTAGATTCACTTTTTTGGATTGCTGCATTTAATCTGTGAAAGCATCTACAGAATGAGCATTCCTTGTATGATAGAGTAAACAGTAATAGTCCGCAGTGGCAGCAGCGGCAGCCTCCCCCAGGTCCTAATGCCCGTTTTGTAAGGTGTTTCAATCTGTAGGGGGCGCTGTTGGCCTATTTCTAATTAAATTAAAAGTAAAATAGCCTACACAAATAACATTTAGACTGTGTTTCTGATTAAATAAAGCAGTAATTTATGTCATAAAAGAATGAGTATGTTTTGATTTAAAGGTCAGAAGCTATAGCTTACATGAAAAAAAAATTACAAACGTGACACTTGTAAATTAAATAATTTTATATATACTGATTTATTCATTAATGTGTAATATGTTTTATTTTTAAAACAAATCATAAGCTCTAAAATATTTTCAGAATTTTTACAACTATTTTGCTTTAGACCATCTAATAAAGTGTTAGGGTTAACACTGCATCTTTCTGGGGAAAAAAATGCAGCGATTGATATATAGTTTATTTATGGTTATTTTCAAAGCTTCGAGACTTGGTGTTGTTTCCAAACAAAAGGAAATATACCGGTATCTGTATCGACCAAAAGTAGTTTGAAAAAATATCGGCATATCGGATATCTGCAAAAATCCAATATCGTGCATCCCTAGTAATGGCTGCTGAAAATTCAACATGTTTACATTTTAATATAGAATATAGTTATTTTATATTGTAATAGTACTTCAAAGTATCACTGTTTTTACTGTATTTTTGATCAGATACATTCAGCCTTGATGCTCAAGACTCACGAAACTTAAACCACATATTCTAAATGTTTATACGTATATCAATGTTTAATTCTTTTGTACTATTTTGTATTTAGATGTTGTGTGAGATCATATTTTGTTGCTTATATTCTTTTCAGTGTCTGAAATCATTTATGTTGTTTAAAGTCTAGGGTGTGCTCCTTGTTTGAAAAAAAAAAAAATCATTAATGAGTCTTGAAAAATCTCACACATTAACATCACACTCACATCTAACACGTGCTGTGACACCTTAGCTCCTCGAGTATGTGGTAGTTATATCTCTGAAACCACTGATCACTCGCAGCTTTGCTTCATGCCGTTCCCATTATATGCAAGCATTAGAAACATAGGCTCTCTTTTGCTTTACCTGGGTTAAGATGAGATTACTCATTGCTAGAACTGATCATTAATTACAAAGAGAACAGTGTCCAGTGTGTAAACAGTGATTAATTGTTAACAAAAGTTAGTTAATGCATACCTGAACTGTAATTATCTGTTCTGCACCACTACAAGAATCCCAACACAGGTGGGTAATTAACCCTAATTGCATTTACAATGAGAGGATCACAAGAGCAGAGAATAACTTTGTTAAAAAATAAGCCTCCTTTGATGTAGGACTAGATATTTGTCAGCTGATTTATTCACATCTTTTTTTTTTTCTCATTATGTCTTTTTCACCTTTTCATGGTTGGAAGCAGAGTTCTTTTTAAATCAGCTTTGTTTCAACTGAGCAAGACCCTGAAACAAAGTAAAGCAATTCTAATAGGATGTAGCTGCATGTATTACAAGAGGAGAGGTTTGTACATTATATGAATTGTTCTCCTCAAACGTTCTAATAAAGATGTTTTAGACTGAAACTGTTGGCATGCAGGCATCTGGCCAATTTGTGTAAGTTCACTGGTGCATATTGCTGACTTATACAATGTCACTGGTCCATGTATTTTGCTCAATGGAGAGTCACTGGCGCATGTTGCATTCAGTCTATAGACTTGCTTTATTCAGTGGTCCAAAGGGCCCAGTGTCTCTATGTCATTGAATGCCTGTGACCATGTACCCCTGATGCAGCAAAATCCACTTGTTTGATCTTCCATTGTGGATGACAGATCTTCAGTTAGTTTTACTTTTCCACCCTCCTTTCAGGTGGATGCTGGTGTTGGCCCGGGCTTCCAGGGAAAATTCATGAACTTGAACTTTGTGACTTTTTTATTATTCAGCACATTTTGTGTCTTTAAAAGTGATAAGTGACGATC